CACAAACACACTTTATTATTGATTAAATAAATACATTGTTTATATTATAAAACCAATAAAGAACAAAAATACCAAAAGATGAGAAGATCGTGTTTCGAATACGTGCAGTTCGTGCAAGCAAATCCGCATTTTTATTACCTTCCTGTTGACGGTTGATAATGACGAATTCGGGGAAAGACTCCATGCGTATTGCTATTTCTCGTAGTTTGGGTTGAAAACCAGGTCAATCTTACGATGATGTCACCATAGTAATCAGCTGTTTGGAGACTGTTACAAAGACTGGACAAAAATGTTGTTTCCGAACTAAGCATTGCATAGCCCACATCAAGCCGTGTACCTCCATGTGTAGGGGTGAGAGGTTTCTCCGATTACCTTGTAGACCCATCACATAAGTGGTATCATCCTGTAGTTGGAGGACCCATCCCACACCATTGGTGGCAATGACAATGATATCCGATGAGGATTTTTCCACCGCATTGAAGATTTTATCATTCGTGGCCTTTCAAATGTACTAGATAATCCACGGGATAGCTTGCGTAACCTCAGACAGCTCTGTTACTCGTGGTAATCGCCAGAATTGATGATCCAAATTTTCCCTCAAACTTTCAGAGAGGCCTCCCACCGATCCAAAAGGTATCTACGAGAGGGCACATGTTTGCATAGCTTAGGAACACAAGAAAATTGCATGATTAATCGTTTTGTCATGGGTTGCACCGCGGACATGTACGATCTGAACTGATATGCCGATGGCCTAAACGTTCATTGACTGCTATGACACCCAAAAGAAACTGCCAAAGAAAGTGTCTTAACTTATTTTGGACTGCGATTTTCCACACATGTGCCTTAAGGGAGATATCGGATGGGAGCTGGAGCTGAAAACGTGTCTCGTCATCTTTTGTCAGCCTTGCTAACTCATATCCTGACCTCATTGTGTATGCTACAAAAGTGGTGTAATGCCAACAAAACCCATCATCGAGCAACCGTTTAGATAGTCGAATACTTAGGATTAGTAGAATGTCTTCAGAACTAATATGGGTTTTAATGGCTTGGATGTTCCAAGTGTTAGTTGTCAGATTATTAGTGCAGAGACATTAGTGTCGGGTCAGACACACTGATATTACTCGTAGCTGGTCTAGGTTCCATGTCGGGCACTCATCTATCTGACCAGACGAGAGTTTTTTCTCCATCGCCAATGGTGCGTCTGGAACCTTTCAATGCCAACTGTCTAGAGTTTTATATACTACACCAACCATATGAAAGTCGATCGGGTTTCGGAGCGCTGAAAGGGTGTACCGACAGGTAGTACCTTCCTTTGACCACCCGTGCATTTAGCGAATTTGTTTTAGATTTAATTAAGATATATGTTAGATTAAATGTCGATAAAAACATATGGTGGACTGTCGGCGCCTGCACCGTAATACTTTAAAATCGAAGTAAATATCACTAACAACAAACCTAATTTTTGTGTTGTGTCTGCATTTTCACTTTATGATAATAAAATGTGGATTTGGTGATAAGATAATTTTTTTTGGTTTAACCTATTTAATCAGTGCCACGTATAATAATATAACATGGTATGGTGGATTTTTAACATTTTATTTGTAATTTAATCTTTAACGAGGTTCTAGAAAGAATTGCACATGA